CGTAGACAGAGAGGGACACACGTCTAGAGAGGTGGGAGTGACCTGGGATCAGGGGACAGCTTGGAAACTGAGGGCAGGGATAGCTACAAAGGAGGAAGTTGTCAAATAGCCAAGAAGCTAAAACGAGGGGGAAAACGTGAATCTAATACTTGGCAGCAGGGGGACTATTGGTTAGAAATGGCAGCAATGAGAAGGAGGTAGATGGGGCGGAAGCCGCGTGTGGCCTTGGAACACGGAGTCGGCCTGGGCTCAGACACTAGTGCCTCCTGCGCACCCCCACCCAAGCCTCAGCTGTGCCTGGAGGGTCAGGGGCCGGGGCGGGGGACAGAGGGTAGGCAGCAACCCCGGGACATTGCACAGCCCTTTCCTCCTCTAGACAGGTGCCTGCAGGACCCGAAGACAGGAGTGGCCAGGGTGGGGCTGCAGGTCCCAGGGTGACATTGTGGACACAGTGCCTGGTGGGGATGGTCATCTGAGGAAGTTGGGGTTGTGTTTGAACACTTAGAAGAAAGCACTTCTGTTGACATAGTTCGTTACGCCCGTTGGCCATGCCTTCTCACTCACAGATGGAGTTTGCAAATAAGGACAGGAGGCAGGTCTGGAGGGCAGAGTCTCATTAGCACAAGCTACCTGGGGAGGCCCCGCTCTTCCAACTGGACTTCCTGAGCTCCGAGTCCTGACGGGCGAGCGGCCCAGCACAGAGGGTAATGAGATGCATTTCTCATTCCAGCCCACTGACACCGGCCGGTGGGGCCTGGCTGCCCGGAGGGCCGGGCTGAGGCAGCGTCTGAGGCCCCTTCCAGAGCCAGTGGGAAGGAGTATTGAGACTGACTAGCCCTTTCTGCCAAAAGGCGTGGACTCGCAAAGAATGAATGAGGGCCATTGGACTTTGCCGTTGGAGCCTTGTTCCCACAGTGACATACCTCGAGGTTCCCTTGCGAATGGACCAGGCCTGTGCTTCTCAAAAATATTGAAATCACCGGACTCCTCTCCAGCTAAAATTGCTCATGGCAACATCGGAGCAGGGCCGTGCCGGCCTGAGAGAGGGGAGAGGCCTGGGAGCCCAGTCTGAAAAGCACTGGGAGGCACTGCTGCAGAGGGAGCCAGGTGGGGTCTGTCTGCAAGAACGGCAGTTAAGTCTCGGTCTCAGAACAGCTAGACAGGGCCATTCCAGGCAAGGGCGCAGCGAGTACAAGGCCCTGGGGTGGGTGCAAGTTTAGCTAGTTTCAGACCCAGCGTGTCCTCGCCTGCTGCGCCCCTGACCTCTCCCACTGTTTATCAAATCATGCTGTTATTTCAGTTGTCAGAATATGCTGCTTAGTAACAATCGCAACACATTATTCATTGCTCCTTTGTGTGGCTGAAGTATAGGTAGTGGGGCCGGGGGGTGGGAGTCAAGGTAAGAAATAGAACAGAAAGGTAGGCAAGGTCCACTCAAGTAAAGCCATATGAGCAGGGTAAGGAGTGTGGGCTTTACTCTGAGTGTGACAGGAAGCTGCAGGATTGAAATGACAATCTGACTAAATTTTTGAAATATCACTGGCTCTGATACGGGGGGGGGCAAGAACAGAAGGCAGGACAGCAGTGATCTATGACGTAGTTTGTGTGGGAAATGACAGAAGCCCAACTCAGAGGGCAGCAGTGCGCATTTCAGAAGTCAGGGGTGCAGAGCAGGTGGTCTGCGGACATGTCATCTCCCCTGAGGCGTCGGGTCCTAGGATGACGGGTTGCTGAGGTCAAAAGAGACCAGATGAGCGCCCACCTTGCAGGCCTGCAGAATCCCTGCTCAACCTTCAAGAACCTGTTCCCCTGGGAAACCTTCCCTGGCCTTCCATGACTGTCACCGTCAAAGGGTTTCCTCTCGCCACTTACTCCTGGGCACAGTGCCGCCTTTTCCCAGAGACTGCTGGGCGTGGGAGGGGCCTTGCATCCGCCCGCTCCAGCTCCCGGGTTTCACAGACGAGTGGACGGGGGTTCGGAGCTGATGTTAAACCCAGGTCTCTCAACCCCCACCCTGCTGCTGCTTCTGCCTCATCCTTAACGTTCCCTTCGTGGATGGCTCGTATCTCCAACTAGATGACAAGCCTTCCATCTTTTTATTTGAGACTTAATGAAAGATTCTTAAGAGCAGGGATCCTGTCTTCTTCTATCTCCTGCATCTAGCGTAATGCTGGGCACCAACACACAAGGTCGACCGCCCTTTGCTGGTAAGCTGTTCCGTGCTTCATGGAGCTCACTACCCGGGGACTTCCCCCCTCCCACTGCCCCATCCCGGTCAGCCTGCCGCCCCAGCCCAGACCTGCGGTCCTCCTGCTGTGGCCCCGACTGCCCTGTCTCTACCCCTGCCACTTCTTGCGGACAGGTGTGAGCACAGAGGAGAGCCCGGCTCCAAAGGGAAGAGGCTGGAGTAGAGCTCTATTCACCAGTTGTTCTACTACAATTACAGTCAGTCTTGGAGTCGGAGTGGAATTAGCCCAAACCCCCAAAAGCCTGGGGGTTGTTCAGCTGCTGTGACTGGTCAGGCCATGTACCAGAGGCAACGGATCAATGTCTCTCACACACTGATGGTTCCCTCTCTGTCTCTCTGTCTCTCTATGTGTTTGTACACCGCAGCTATCCCTACACACTTGAATGTGTTCGCACACACACCTGAGCACCAAGGCACACACAGGCATGCTCACACACATTCATGCAGCCCCTGTGCCCAGGTCACCCCCAATGCCTGGCTTTCAGTAGCCTCCCTGAGCAACCATTCACTCACCCTAAGTCCCCGCCTTGCAGCCCCCTTCCTTCTCCGCGATGACTGCAGTGGCCTGACTGACCTCTGCACTGTTCTCTCCACCCTCCCGGGACTTCCTTGTCTTTGGTAATGCAGATCGGAGACCAAAGCATCCCACCCTCTGCAGGCACTGCCCAGAAAGCTCCAACCTCACAGCCTCGAGGGCAGCATTCACCCCAGTATCTGGGGCTCGCTCTGAGCCCTGTTCCAACAGCCACGCCTCAGATGCGCCCTCAGCGGCCGAACGTCCTCAGATCTACGCCTCTGTTGCCAGGCAGGACTGTTTTCTTAATCTGGGACGCAGTCACTGCGGCAGAAGAGTGCATGTCTTCTCGAAGACTTCCCCGAGAGTCTTGAGATGCGCCGTTTTACTGCTCCCTTACTCGTTTCGGGGCTGGTCACTCAAGAACAAAGCAATGCAAACATAAATTTAGATTGTTTTTTAAAAACTTTGCTGACTTGACAGATGATGGTGTGTGACGGTGCTTTTAATTTTAGTTCTCTGGTTATTGGTGAAATTGAGCGTTTCTCCCATTTTTTGCCCATTTGTATTTCTTCCCCTGTGATCTGAGCCTCGGGCCATTAAGTTTCGTCTTTGTCCAATAAAACCTTCTCCCTGACCCGGTGGTTCCCGAGTGCGGTTAGTGGACCAGTGACATCTGCATCCCCCAGGAACTTGTTAAAATCCTGATTCTCCAGCCACACCCAGACCCTCCAAACCAGAAACTGCGGAGGTGGGCGGCCCAGCAGCCTGCCTCGATGGGCCTCTGGGACCCCAGAGGACCCTACCCTTGACCGAGCAATACAGAATTCATGTGGAACCCAGGGGTGCAACGGAGGGGACCCATGGCGGGCCCCACCTTGCGTGACCCCACCCTGAATAGCACAGAAAAGAGGAGGCTGTCAGCTCTGGAACTGGCCTGCTCGAGTTCCGGGCCTGGCTCTCCCCATTTCTAGCTGTGTGATGTTGGGCAAGTGGCTTGGGCTCTCTGGGCCTCCAGCTCCTCGATCAGTAAAACGGCAACAATACCATAACCTACTTTACAGGTTTGTTTCCAGGATGAAAGGGCCAGTACATGTGAAGCACTTAGCGCAGTTCCTAGCATGCAACACTAAATCGTGTTAGGTCTGGTGGGCATCACCGTGGCCCTTTAAATTATCCCACGTTCATGGGCCTGAGAGCAGAAGGCAAGAGCTCTTCAATAAATGTAAACATAGTACACCTCTCTTGTTCCTGACCCCCCAAAAATATCCTCCTCCCTCTGTCTGCCTTCACCCCAACCCAGCCTTTCCACACCACGAGTACCTCTTCAGGCCACGGCCCCCGTCAGTGGCCACCGAAGAAACACAAGACACAGGAAATACTGAGAGACGCTCTCGAGCTCGTTTTAGTCACACCAAATAGCTCCACCGGCTAAAAATGGGCGTGTGCTCCTGTAGCATTTCATAACATCCGGCCTCTCACAGCAGGCTTCTCATTGGTCCACGTGGGTGACGTCTTTGCACAGAGGAGGCCCTAACAGGAAGGAGGCCTGTGGGATGCCTCGTGAGAGGGGGTTCGAAGAGTTAACACATGCACCCTGCGCGGCGAACCCTCGTGGGGGGAGGTGGTGTATGGAGGCGCCCAGGGGTCGGTCCCGCTGCTGCTTTGTGGAAGCGTCTCTCGTCGGGTCGGGTCAGTGTGCGGGGCACATGTCCTACAGGACACAGGAGAGGGTCTCCAGGATGTCACTGACCTGTGGGCGGACGGATCGAAGGACACCCCAGTGGGGTCGTCAGACATTACCTGCAGGGAGAGGAGAATAAAGCTAGTTTTCTCTTTCAGGAAGTAGCCGAGGGAATGTGTTCTGTGCCTCCAAAGAAAGACGATGAATTTTTAAGTGCTTTAGGAGAATGAACTGCAGGCTCTCTGCCTCACTCCACGCTGCACGAAACTCTGCCAGGACGTTTATTGGGTGTTTTCCCAGAGGAGGAGCCTCCTGAGTTCGTCCAAGGCTGGACGGTTACTGGAGAGCAAGGGAGCTTTGAGCCTTCCATACATCCTCCTCTCTGTGGCCACTTCCAGTTGTTGGACTTGTTAGCCGGTTCCTCTCACCTGGTCTCTTCTTCTGACTCAACAACACTGAAACTGCGATAAACCTCACTTCTCTCTTTGTCTCTCCCTCTCCTCTTCCCTTCCTTCTCCATCCCCCACCCCCTTTCTCTCCCCCCCGCCCTTCAGGAACCTTCTGCATCATATCACTGTGCACCTGTGTGGCCGGGATCAACTTCGAGCTGTCGCGCTACCCTCGCTACCTGTATGGACTCCCCGACGACATCAGCCATGGCTACGGATGGTCCATGTTCTGTGCGTGGGGGGGCCTGGGCCTCACGCTCATCTCGGGGTTCTTCTGTACCTTGGCCCCTTCTGTCCAACCTGTCCCGAGGACCAACTGCCCCAAATCCAGACCCGAGAATGGGACAGTGTGCTAAAAAACGAACCCCCCCATGCATATATATATTATAAATATATATATATATAATATACATATATAAAACAAAACTCAATCCAGATGATGCTCGTGCCAAGGAGAGTGGAGTTGGCTCAGGCACCCGCATCCTGTCGGACTTTGTCTTTGTTGCCTCGTCACCGAGATGGGGAAGGTGTTCCCACCAACCGGCTCTTCCATCACCTCTTACCTTTTGGCTCCATGGTTCCCTGAAGACACGGTGAATGTCCGGCTCCCGACAGCCTCCTGATCCCCGTCACTCACGAGGACAGGGTGCTGGGCTGGGCAGGGACAGTGCCAGAGGGTTGGAGCGGCACCGAGGAGGAGATGGAAGTGCCACCACGGGCCGTCACCCCAGCACCGACCACGCCACAGAGAAGCCGCGCTCTCATCCGCAGACCATCACCCGCGAACCAGGAGGCGGGGCGGAACCACTGCTCCTCCATCTCTTCCCCTCCTGGTTTCCTTCCTGGGGCCCGGCGGCGAGGCGCACAAGAAGTGGAAGAGAAGACGAAGCTCAAAGGAAGTTTCCTCGTTGCCACCAGACTTTCGGACAAAGTTCAGGAGGTGGAGAGGGGGCGAGAACAACCTGCTGAGAGGCGAGATCCGCGTCGATGAAAGGACGCTTCAGCGGATGCTCAGAAAACCCAGTCTTACCGTCCAGCTGCCTTACACCGAGTTAGACAAGAGGCTGCCCTTCCCCCAGCCCCACCTGCACTCCCTGGGCAGACCGGAGCCTTGGAGTGATGCTGTGATGTGTGTGTGTGTGTGTGTAACTATTTCGGATGGTTTCCTTTTTTCCTTTTCATGTTTTAAAACGGGAACACTGCATTATGCCTGCTGTCTCTCTGTCCAGCGGGGCGGTTTCAGGGCCCTGCGTGGAGGCCCTGAGACCAGGAAGAATAATGAGGGGCAGGCCCACATGGGTGCCAGTTCTGCAGCTTTTGATCCCCGGCGTGTGCGTGTGGCCGATGTTTCCTGAGTGTAGGTTTTATCGTTTGCGTTGCATTTTTCTATTATTTTTAGTGCAGCTGAAATTCCCAGAGGGCAGAGCCGAGAACAAAACCGCTGGGCAGAGGACCCTGTGGTTCTTCACGTGACAGTTCGGGGACAGCGCAGGATTTAAACCCTCTCATTTCAGAAGCCCTCGACACAGCAGGGCCCAGGAGCCATGCGCGAAGAGGGGGGACACGGTTCAGGAGGGGGACGGAAGTGGCCCCTGCTGCGGTGGTACGAGTCTGTGCCCTCAACGAGACCTCTTCCTCCCCATCCTGGAGGGGGCCCTTTGTCACTGGACAGCCACCCCCCTCCCTAGACGCGACGTCCGTACAGATGAAAGAAAATGAGTCACGTGCCGAGGGAGCCCCTTCATGTCCCCTGGGCCCAAGTTTGTATGATAGGATGTAAATTAATGGACAACCCTCGACGCTTCCCCTCCTCCGCCTTCCCCTCTCGATAGTCAAAGAGCCGTCCCGGTGGCCAGCCCCCAGACAGAGGCGGCTCCGGTGCCTCAGGCTCCTTTGAGCGCACGGGCGCACGGCAGGTGATGGAGCTGCAGAGTCGGCCGGCCAGGCACGGAGCCTGCAGGGGCAGGAGCAGCTGACGACCACCTCAGTGACCCCGCCGGGGCCGAGCAGCCCCGCGGAGGCAGGAGAGAGTCCCCGAGCTCTAGAGCCGAGAACTCAGTTGCTTCAGAAATGAATGCACTTTGGAAACTTTGCCAACCCACCACTCAGCAGCCTCCCCTCCCACCCGCCCCCCGTGATCATGCCTCGGCCTCCAGGGCCCACCTCCTCTTCTTACCCACTAACCACTTGGCATCCGCCGCTCCCTCCGCCAGGCCGCGTGTCCTGCCTGTGTCCTCTGCCCTTCTCACTGCGCGTAACTCCCATCGGACAGGACACCCGGTGTGCATGGTGGGCCTGAGTGTGGGTCTCTGCGTGTGGGGACCCCTCTGGTGCAGTTTGCATGTGTTTGCCAATACGTACCTGGATGCAGGTGTGGTGTCCTCTTCAAGGTTTGCTTGCCAGCGACATTTATCAGCTTCTGCAGAAGGTCTCATGTGTGAGTGAGCGCCCTGGGTATGCGTGTGTGGGGTGCTGAGGGGGAGGGGTACGGGCAGAAAATGCTGCTAGCTTTGACCTCAGCTTCTAAGGATTCTTTCTAGAACAGCGGCTCTGTTCCATAGGAAGGGAAGTCATTTTCAGGAAAATTCAGTTTTCAATCGTACGGCAAATTGTTTTTTTAAAAAGTTAGATTTCCCTCTTAAGGGGAAGGGTGTACTTGGGCTTGAGAAAAAATGAGAAGTATCTCGGATTGAGAGGCCTTGTCTTGTTGTCTTCCTTCCGAGGTTCCTGAATGGGTTCCACTGAGCAGAGGGAGGCAGGAGTCCAGGAGGGCCCTATAGGGGCCGAGAGCTGGCCGCTGGCCCGGCCCACATTCCAGCTGTGTCCCAGCTGCAGGAAAGTAGGGAAAGAGTCCTAAACGGGGCCATTTGTTGTCAACCGTTTAAACTTCAGTGACCGCGTGTGAGGGTCCTCCCTCACAGACCTCGCCTTATTTACACCCTCTTGTTTCTGTGCCACACTGGCCCTAGATAGGTCGTCCACGCTAATCGGTGTGGCAGGCCATTGATGCAGCTTACCATGTCCCTTTGAAACCCCCTGAAATGTCAGGAGGTCTCTTGGGAGAGAAGTGAACTATCGGGGCCCAGTCACCATCAGCCGGGTGGAAGCTCTGAGCTGCCTTTTTCTGGTGATGGGGCCCCACAGGTACATGCAGGGGCACAGACACCCTGCGTGGGGCCCAGAAAGTGCCCAGCCACGTGGCCGGGATGGAAGCCCTTACAGGTGGCAAGCCCTGACCAATGGGACAGCTCCCCAGGTGACCTTGATCCCTCCAGCCTGGGAGCTGGAGGTCAGATCAAAGCTTCCCGGTCCAAGCAGTTGCTGAAGCTTCATGGTGCGAGAGGTGCCCGAGGAATAAGAGAAGGAAGAAGGGGGAGCCTTGACTGGAAGACTCTATGAGTCAGGTTCTGCTAACTTGATGTCAGAGTAGAACCCAACCCTCTGAGAGATTTAGGGTCAGCGACCTCACCTCACTGAGGCTCCCAGCCCCAAGGCCAGATCAAGTTCAGATTCCTAACAAGTGTACACACGAGGTCTGTGACCTCGTGTGTGTGTGTGTGTGTGTGTTGGGCCCCGTGCCTAGGGGCCCCTTCAGCTTTCATTTCCTTCCTTATCCTATGAGACCGAGGGTTCAGGCGAGCGGGGTGTCTGCCCAGAAGCAGCCCCTATTTCATTCTCTTCCCGTTTGGGGGGTCACGGTTCTTCTGCCTCCTCTCCCTCTCCCCTCGCTTCTACTTTCCTTCCATATCAGCATCGCTCCGCTAAAATTGGTAAGAAATCTGTCTCTCGAGGGGCTGGTGCACCCCGGCAGCCCCTTCCCTGTTTGCTGTGGCTCCTGGGTATCAAAATATTTTTTTTAATGTGCCTATTTCAGCTGCAACCCTCCCACCACCCCTGGCCTGTCCACGACCCTGCCCTTTCAACTTCAGGGATCACGAAGTCATGAAGGCTTGACAGCTCCGCCCAGTCATGACCACATGCCCGCCCGCCTGTAAAGGCACCTGGGCCCCGGGCCCCTGCTGGTGCATTCTCTCGCTGGGGACGAGGGAAGCAGGTATCCCAAGACTCTGAGACTGGGCCCTGCATGTTAATACGCACCCACAGTCATCACCTTTGTTTGTGCTGAGTTAGTGAGAAGATGACACGACTTTGGTCTCTGCAGCCACCCACCAGAGTCAGAGCCAGAGTAATGCAATCCAGGACTTCGCCCAGACACTTCTAGACTTGTCTCTGTCTTTACCTGGCTTGTTCTGAAAGCACTGATTTGCTGGCTTTCTAGTATCTGGGGAGGAGTGGGAAAAAATGCACTCTGGCCATCTTCAGTGGGGTGTCCGTGGGGTGCCTGGTTGATTCTTAGTGAAACCAAGTCTTCGCAAAGGTCCCCTCTGCCCCAGAACCCACCTGTCCCTGTGGGCACGCGCAGCCCTTCCCACGGAAAAACAAGTCATCCCGAGAGGTAATTTCGTCACAGATAAAAATATTCGGAGCACACCAGCCAGGCCGGCTTCTAGCTGGTGTGTAATTGCGTCAGGGGGCAGCTTTTTAAACAAGCCCAGCTGAGTTGACGGACACAAGAGATTCTGATGTCTCTTCCCAGCGGCCAACGTGGTGGGCTGGGCCTGCCCTCTTTCTGTGGATGCCGCCATGGTGCAAAAATGCTCCTTCGACATTATTGCGAGTTCTTAGACAACACTACTATTGGCTATTTGACTTTTTTCCCCAAAATACTATATGCTCATTGTAGAAAATTGGAAAAATAAAACACAAAAAAAGACTAAGATCATTCATCCTTCCATCACCCTGAGGCATCACAGGGCCCCAGCCCCAGCATTTCCTGGTCAGTTGTGGTCTCTGGTTTGGAAGCTGGGGCCAGGAGGGCGGTCCAGGTCGCCGAACCGCGGTGGCCTCTCCGTGTGGAGTTGACCTTCTCTGTGTTCTTGGCAGCAAGAGCCCGGGGCTGTGCCCTCAAAGGAGCAGAGAAGCCTTTGAAAAAGCTCAGCGCCGAACGTAGTGGCAGTCTTGGAATAGAGCTAAAAGTTTCCAGCTTTGGGATTTTCTTTCTTTTTTTTTTTTTTTTTTTTGTGCATGTGTGTGCCATCTCAATCTAACTGTGGGTGCAAGAGCTCTGAAGCTGGAGTAACTCAGTAAGTTGGCCCCCCTTGCACAAGCCAGTCCCTGTAGACGTCATTTCGAGCAGCACCAGAGCAACAACTGGCGGCTCTGGGCACCATGTCTTCTCCAAACTTGACCTTCCTCATCCGCACAGTGAGGAGAGTGATGACACTTTACCTCGTGGTCTCTGAAGGGTGACAAGGAGATGGCAAAGTGGTCTGCAAACGTGAAGTGCCACATACACCATGCACCGTTCGAGTTATCCTGCCACAGCCAAGTCCCCACGGACTGCTGAGAGGCGGGTCTGGAGTGGTCGGTTGGTCATCCTGGCCGCTTGCCTAGGGATTTTATTCCATCATTCAGGTCCCTCAGCGAAGCTGGCTTCCTAACCGACTCATTCGCAGGCTTCCTCCCTTTTGTCCAAAGCCAGTTTTGCGAAGGGCCCTCCTTGCTCATTCCCGTAGGTGATGGAATGAGTAAACCCTATGGGGCAGATCACATACATGAGCGAAAACAGTTAGTTATATAAACAAAGGCAGGCGCTCAGGGCCTTAGTTTTTTCTTTACCGCCCTCCTAACATTACATCTAGCTGTACAGGCCCAGGTGGTGGGGGAAGGTGAGATTCTGAAACATTTCCATGGCCCGTTCAGTTTAAGGTGGGAACAAGGTTCAAGGAACCGGGACCCTTCTCTCGTCGGTAGGTGCCACTGAGGGCGTTATCAGAAGAGTGTGGGTTCTTTCAGGAATTCCTTCCAACAGCTCCTGTCCACGGGGACAGGTTCTGGGTGTGATCCTGTTGGGGAAAACTGAACCCTAGGATCTACATGAGGAAGGAGTCCACTTCAGTGGGGCCCGCGCACGTTCTGCTGTGCGGGCGAGTGGGTTTGGTGTTACGGTGAGCACTTCTCTAAGGAGCAGGGAGCTGTGCCCCGTGGGGGGTGCTCGCTCACTGTGGAGGCTGAGAAACCTGGGGGTGAGCTTGGAGGCTGCCCTTTGACACACACTAACCTCAGCTGTCACAAACCCCCCCCTTCATTTCCGGCGACTCGCTGTCGCTCCTTGGGGAGTTCTCTGTCCCTCTGTCCTCCCCTGTCTCCCACCTCTTCCTCTGGGTAAGCCTCCCCCACCCTTTCCCGGGCACCCGCAGGCCCTCTCCAGCCTGGGTGTGTTGGGGTGTCTGTGTGAGTGTGACGAAGCCTTTCTCGTGGAGAGTCTCCATGGACTCCTCCTCACCCTCGTTCCTGTTCCCGCCCCTTGTGCGACTGTGTTGCTATTCCAGACTCTGTAAAAATGTACAAATAAAAGTGGAAAGTGACCGCCAAGGGGAGGGACTTGGACTACAGGAATGCGTGGATGTAGCCCTCAGTTTTCGGAGGACTGCCCCCAAATCCTGACTGGGCGGGACTCGGAAGGAGGGAAGCCA